ATCATAATGGAATCAGTTGAGATATAGATAGAAAAAGCATATACTTCAATGTAATTAGTTTTTATGTGCGTGCTCTGTATTTTGCTAACATCAAAAGTTTATATTGGAATCAATATTGAGTGGCACCTCCTGGTCTCTGTTTGTGTGGGCTATTTGTGTGCCATAATGCTGCTTTTGTATAGCATTCCAAATCAGTCACTTATTAGGTTCCAATTCAGTCAGGATACTGCCTTAGAGGACAGCTGCCTATGTAAACAAAAGACAGCAAGGCGGTTCACTAGATTTGGAAGTTGGAACAGAGCTATTATTTCCTGTGCTTTTTCTGGAGCTGTGAAACTCCATTCATTTTTCACAGCAGTCGAAACATCCCCAATATATCAGACCCACTGCGCTTGTGAAAGCGACCTGACGCGGCCAAAAATGGGAGAATCGTAGTTGCCTACAGAGTAAATCACACACTAACGGACACATGTCGTCAGATTCCTATTAATTAGCCCCCAAGCTGACAGCTGTCATCTCTGCGAGTCTTTGGACTGCTTTATAGCATTTATGGTCTGCATAGGGCACAAGCACGTCTCACGCACATCACACACAGTTTGCAAGTCTGTTCTTCAACATGTCGCATGTGCAGATTACAGTCTCATTGTAACTTATTTCCAAACAGCGAGCAGATGACGTGCCACCCTCATAGGGAAGTGTAAGTGTGTGTTTAAAGGCCGGGACACACCAAGCCGACTTAAAAAAACTAGCGGCGACGAAAGCCGATGGTGTTGTCGCCTCGCGTCTGACCAAAAAGCTGCGCTCGAACACACCGCACAGACTACAGCCGACGGCAAACTAACACGTGTGTTCTGCGCATGCGTGAGAGGAATTAACTGTCTATATCAGCAGCTATCAATAGTATATATTCGTCATTCAAAAGGAGAAACCGAAACAAAGATATACGAAGCGTAAACAAAGCAGCGCTTGCTTACCATTTTGAATATCAGTAACATTGATAACTTTAATAATTTTAAGCGGCTCATGTTGTTATGAAAACATTCGCGTATTAGAATGATTGGGAAAGATCACGTAACATTTAAACAGCCTTCTGTCTGTACCGCCTTCATTTACGTGCTTGTTTTCATCACTTTCGCTTTAATTCTCGGGCACTGAATCGTTCGCTAAACTAAACATCCAATCAGAGCTTTCACTTGTCCCGACAGCACCGATGCCGATTCAACATGTTGAATCAGGCAAACTGCCGCCGACGTGAGCCCGACGAGAGCTGACGAGTGGAACACACCAAACAAACTAGCCCGACCGTCGCTCGCCGTCGGGCCGACGTTGGCCAGCGGCCGACTGTCGGCTTGGTGTGTCCCGGCCTTAAAGGGGCATGTTAAGGCTGGTGATGGTGTGTGTTGTGTGCAGGCATGTAAGTTCATGTTTTGTTTATTTGCAGTGATCTGGATCACAAGTCCTGGTATGCAAAGTCCAAAATGAAACAAATGTGGGTTAAAATTGCCTTTGGCGGGTAAATAGTTGTCATTTTAGATTATTTAAATTTCAATTATAACAAATTTTTTTTTTTCTTTTTAATACAATGCAAGTTCATCAAATTATGTAGATATAAATGATCTAGTAAAAAGAAAAGATTCAGTTTGCTTTGGAAAAAAAAAGTTTTAAAACAGTAAAATATAATATAATATAAAATATATAATTTACAAAATATATACTGTCTCAAGAAGTAGTGCACTGCATATAAATATGAAAAATATAAAAATAAAACATACATACATACAGTGGTGTGAGTTTTTGCCTCCCTGTTTTTTTAAAGGGGTCATATGATGCAGCTAATAAGAACATTATTTTGTGTATTTGGTGTAATTAAATGTGTTTATGCGGTTTAAGGTTAAAAAACACATTATTTTCCACATACTGTACATTATTGTTTCTCCTCTATGCCCCGCCTTTCTGAAACGCGTTGATTTTTACAAAGCTCATCGGTCTGAAAAAGCGAGGTGTGCTGTGATTGGCCAGCTATCCAGTGCGTTGTGATTGGCCGAATACCTCAAGCGTGAGACGGAAATGTTACGCCCATCACCATACTGTGATGATGCCGTGTCCGGCCGGAGCAACGACACAAAAACATTAAA